CTACCACACAGCCTCAGGCTGGACCTGGGAACAACAGCAATTAAGTGGTGTTCCCACACTCTTCAAAACCTCCTTGCTGCCGGATGTAGTTTATTGTCATACCCAGGACATATTTAATGTCAGATTTTGTATAGAGAATTCTCAATAATTATTACTACATTCTGTTGTGTTTTTTTTTTCACTGTTGTGTTGTGTTTGTTTGTTTGTTTGTTTGTTTTTTTTTTTTTTTTTTTTTTTTTGAAAAAAAAAAAAAAAAAAAATTCCCATCTGAAGTGTCAGTAAGTTCATGAAATCATGGCCAAAATTTTTAAGATGGTCACTTATTGACTTCTGGTATGTGTTACCTTCATAATCCAAAATTCGATTCTCTGAAAACGGGATTCTATATAATGTTCAAATCTACATCCGGTTTGTTTAGATATTTATTTACTTTTTTTCATGCTTTTTTTTTTTTTTTTTTTTTTTTTTACAAACTCTCCATCTGGACTCTCCACCTTAGCACCTATTATTTTAACCTGATTCTAGGGGGAGTTAGTGTACTTCTCTTTTTTTTGCCTCAGCAAACCGAATGACATGTTGGCTTGTTTGTCTTGTCTTCTCTTGAAAGTAACTGGTGCTGAGAAAAACTAAAACCAAAAACACTACATCCAAAATTCCATCAATTGCAACAAATGGAAGCTAACTATATTCCAAGTTGCTCAAAGACTTTTCCCCTCCAGCAGAAATGTTTCATAATGGACAAAACGTTCTTGTGCTAACAACTATTTTCCTCTTCTCTTCTTATGAGCCTACCATTCCCACATGCAGGGTAAGATATCAACTCAAGGAATGTTTGTTCTTTTAATCCCCACCCCATCTTCTTCTCACAGTTACTTTTCATTCTTTGATATATCTTAGATCTTAAGTTTCTTTTTTGTTTGTCTGGTAAAAGAATTTATAATATTGAGAACTCAAAGATTTATGAAGAAATTTAACTATATAACACATAACGAAGCTAAGTAGACATTTGCGGTTTTTGAGTCTGGAACGATTTTCCATTCAATTATAGAACTGGGCTAATGTTATTTGTACTTAAGAGAGAGATTAAAACAAAACTTTTACATTTCTAATTAAAAATAAGGGTTTAGGACTAGAAAACCTGGTTTGCAGTAAAGAGACAAAATTCTCCCCAAAATCTTATATTTTGTATTGGATCCATTTAAACCTCTTTTGGGAGGGATTTTCAGTGTCAAAAATGACTCTAGAACCCTAAAATACATAATAGAAGTCTGGGACATGATTTTCTGATTTAAAAAAAAAAAAAGTTATATTAAAAATGGATATTTGGTGCCTGACATATGGCGCCAAAAACAAGTAATGATCAATTTAATGTATGAAAGGAACTGATTACATTTTAAATATCTTCCAAAGAACAATTTTCTTACATTTTGCAGATTTGTTTTAATGTTTGGAGACTTACATGAAAAAGGAGAAAATTTATTCTTTGACAATTTTATTAATATTATTATAAAAATCATAACTCACAAGTCCAACATCAAATGTCCAAGAGGCAAAATAAAATAGGGCCAAAAAAAATTCAACTTCTAATACAGCAAACTCTCACTTATGAACCAAAAAATACACACATTCCTCATAAAGAAAAAAAGTGGCTTTTATTCAGAAGGCAAATTTTTTGATTGGTGTCTATAGTCAGGGAGGATAAAAAAATATTATGCCTTGAATGACAATCTTCCCAGATATGGTGTCATAATAAAAACACTTGGTGTACTTGGAGTACCGAGTGTCTGCATTGGATGTCAGGAAGTGCATCTACTCTTGTAAAACCTTGCTTCAAATCATTATAGCAAATCCTTTGTCCTTACTTTGTGGGAGATTAATAACTTAAAATGAAATCAAAAACTAGAATATTGCAGTTGAAGGGCCAGCATATATAATTTTTTTAACTATTGTGCACCAAGTCCAACATCAAATGTTCAAGAGGCAAAATAAAATAGGGTAAAAAAATTGATCTTAAAGATTCTAATACAGCAAACTGACTCTAACTTATGAACCAAAAAATACACACACTTCTCATAAAGAAAAGAAGTGGCTTTTATTCAGGAGGTAAATTTTTTTGATTGGTTGCTATCGTCAAGGAGGATGAAAAAAAAATTAAGCTTTGAATGGCAACCTTCCTAGATAGGGTGTCTTGATAAAAACACTAACTTTGTACGCGATTAATCCCAGTTCTTTCTCAACAAAAAAAAAATTGCTTTGTATCCCCTCACTTAAACCATTCTCGTATAGCAGGGACTGTCTACAATTTATTTCCAGGTGAGGGGTATTTCCTGCCAGGAACATGTTTGTTTACAACATTTTGTCCCCTTTTTGGAATGATTAGAAATATGAAAATTAGAATTAAAAAAAAAAAAAATTAAAAATAATAATTTTCAAATAACATTACTACACACTTGTAGAACACAGTAGAAATTCTATGGGTATTAACAACTAAAATTCTCTGTTATTTTGCTTGGTTGGTTGATTTTAAAACTTGTCAACCTTTTCAGGATTATTAAATGTCAAATTTTTTGTATGGAGCACCCAGTGAGGATCAAACTCGTTATTTAGAATACCCTTGCTAACCATTATCCTATAGAAAGGAACCTTATCTATTATTTCATACATCTGTTCATTTCTCATCTTTTGGCTGTATCTTTCCATTCTCACCTTAGCCTTTCCAATATTATGGTCTTATGTAAAAATTATACAAACATGGAGTAATTTCACATGCATAAATATTTTCTCTTGTAGTCTCTTGTTTTTCTTTTGTTCTGTTTCCATAAAGAACAAATTTTACACTTTTCCATTCTGACTTGCTTTTCAATCTTTTGCTCAATGTCTCTTGATATCAATTCAGAAATATTGTCTCTAGGTTTTTCTTTCAGCCATTTGCCCGTCTAGGTTTTTTCTTTCAGCCATTTGCCGGTCTAGGTTTTTTCTTTCAGCCATTTGCCCGTCTAGGTTTTTCTTTCAGCCATTTGTCCGTCTAGGTTTTTCTTTCAGCCATTTGCCCGTCTAGGTTTTTCTTTCAGCCATTTGTCTGCCTAGGTTTTTTTTTTTCAGCCGTTGTCTGCGTCTAGGTTTTTTTTCTTTCAGCCATTTGTCCGGTCTAGGTTTTTCTTTCAGCCATTTGCATTCTAGGTTTTTTTTTTTCAGCCATTTGTCCATCTAGGTTTTTCTTTCAGCCGTTTGCCCGTCTAGGTTTTTCTTTCAGCCGTTTATAATAATAATATATATTATTATTATTATTATTATAATAATAATATATATTATCATTATTATAATAATATATATTATTATTATTATAATAATAATATAGACAAAAAACAGTTTACTCACTACAAAGATGCCACTTAGTTTTGGCGCATTTCAATTGAACCTTGACTGGTGCGAACTAAAATTGAACAGTTCTGCTTTTATATATTATCATTCTCATTGCATATATATATATATATATATATATATATATATATATATATATAATGTGAAATGAACTGACAAGTCTGTTTACATAGGGTTTGTTTTTAGGGGTGATTTCTGTTATCTGGCATTTTCTGTTATCCGGAAATAGCCTGGTCCCAAGAGTGTTGAATTAAAGAGGTTAGAGAGTAATAGCTTTGCATTTAATAGGAATGAATCAAGAATTATAACAGAGTATTTTATATCAGTAGAGACAAAAATGAATAGGAATTGTCTTTTAATTTTTGTTTTTGTTGAAATCACATCAGTACTGAAGCAAAATGAACAAAAAAAAAAGTCCACACCAATGTAATGACAAAAAGAAAAGTTAATGTCCTAACATCAAAATATTAGGTTGTTGCATAAATTTGTTTTTTTTATAATTTATTTTAATACTTCTTTATTTATGAATTATTCTACAATTGACCTGTTGATTGATTCCTTCATTTTCTCCAACTTTTTTTAAAACCAGAGAATACTTTTAGATTTTAATATATATATATATATATATATATATATATATATGTGATAAGAAAGAACAGTAAGATTTATTAAAATAAACTTAGCCTGACTTTGTAAGTAACATATAATGGATACATAAGCTGTCTAGGGAAATTAAAACTCAACCCACCCCTAAATTAAAATGGTTTTTCCTTAACCTTAACAACTCATAATATCAATATTGTCTGCACTTATAAATTAAGTAAATTTCCTTGAAAGTTTATTACTAACATTGCTTAACAATGGAATGAGACTATAGATTTGAAGTTTAATTTTTATAACTAAATTTATAAATTTAGTTTCACTTTTGAAACGGGGGAGATTTTCTTTGATAAGTCTTACTAATGAACACTGGGTTTCAGGGGTGGGGAAGAAAATGTGGGGTCATACATAATCAGAATTTGATAAACAAGAAATTATAATGTAGATATAAAATGAGAGCTTAATTCTGTATTACAAGCCGTATATAAACTGATCCCTCATTTTGTAGCCACAATAATTTCTATCCATTTCCATTCCCGAAAATGTAAATAAATCTAAAAGACATACCTGTGTAGCTAATTGGTTTTTTATTGATTGATTCTTTTGCTCATCAACACTTTGTAGGTTATTGAAAGCCAGAAAATTTATTTTAGATTGTAAAAATTTTCAGTTTTTCTTTTTTTAAGATAATGATGATTTAGTGAAACAAATATTGCTAATTAACCCATAGCTGGAAGGATAAAAGATGGATTCATACCTTTTTCCAAGGGCATCTGCTTATAAGTGAACATAATGAACCTAACTGGAATTGGAACACTACTCTCCAGTTAACAATTCCAAGCCATTATCCATTACACCACTCACACATCCAACCTTACAGCACCTGGTATTTCCAAGCAGTCATCTATCTAGGTACTGACCAGGCTCAACATTGCTTAACTTCGGTGATTGTACAAGAACCAGTGTTTCAATGTGATATGGCCGTAAGCACATTACACCAGCTTCACATCCAAGCTTAAAGCACCTGGCATTCCCAAGCAGTCACCCATCTAGGTACTGACTAGGCTTGACATTGCTTAATTTTGGTGATCATATGAGAACCAGTGTTTCAACATGATATGACCTTCTTCAGGTGGTTGGAATGTCGAACTGATCCTTTTATTTCGCTCACTGGGGTAGACTGTTCTAGTTCCATGTGCCATGTTTAATTGATGTCAGTTGTCAGTTATCTCCTGTTAATTCCCCTGCCTTAACCAGGTATTGAACTCACACTCTTTGGGTTCTGTCATGTTGTAATAAATATGGCGACAAAGATGAGGACAATAGTCCGAATAATGTAAATAGTGTACATAATACCTCATCTCAGAAATATAGACAGATATTGGATTGAGTCACAAATAATCTCTCTTGTTTATCAATTTTATTTTTCAAAAATAAATTACATTTAACAGAGAATCGGGTCAGCTCGGTAAAAGACTCATTTGGTTGTATGTGGTGCTGTAAGCACCAGGAGTTGCATCCCCTTCCACAATGGGCTGTTGAGAGAAGACCTTCTACTTAGAGTAGGTGGCACTGCCTATTTTCATGTGAACAATACTGGGCAGGTATTAGCCAATAATCAGTGTGGGTCTGGGAGTGGCAGAGCTATATAAGCATCAGGAGTTGCATCCCCTTCCACAATGGGCTGTTGAGAAGTTTTTTTTTGCTAAGTAGGTATGCTGCCTATTTTCATGTGAACAATACTGGGCAGGTATTAGCCAATAATCAGTGTGGGTCTGGGAGTGGCAGAGCTATATAAGCATCAGGAGTTGCATCCCCTTCCACAATGGGCTGTTGAGAGAAGAACTTTTGCTTAGAGTAGGTGGCGCTGCCTATTTTCATGTGAACAATACTGGGCAGGTATTAGCCAATAATCAGCGTAGGTCTGGGACTGGGAAAGGTTTATAACACCAGTGTTTTTTCTTAATCAAGAGAAACGCTCGTGAAAACCAGACAAGACAAGCACAGTACAATTATACTTTGTTTAACCATATATTCTCCTCTTTAATGGAGTCCCGAAATCCGTTGGCTGTCAACAATGATAAACTTCTGGCAACTCCGGCAGCTAAGCCATCCCCAAATGTAAGACCCTGTATTCCTTTGGATCTTGTCAGTACAGCTGAGAGGTGAGCCATTCTATTTAACCTGGGCAGCTTATGGCCTTCATATTTTTCTTCATATCTAAGACTGTATACCAGATGTAACTTTTATATTTTTTGTACCTAGTCTCAAAAATGGCATAAAGAGAAAAATGACTTTTTGTAAACTACCAATCAGAGTCGACTGTAGACAGTCATAGCGTCATTGTGAACTCCATCATCCCTTCATTAGTTGCATAATATGTGTCACTAGTTATATATGGTTTTTGAATTGTTCTTCTCTTAGACTGGTTGCCAACCAAGGCTGAAGAGCTCCAACTTCTCTACTATTTACTAGCTGGGGATGTATGGACAGTCTAATGTATAGTGGCTTTGAATCAGTTGGTAAGCTGAATTTGACTTCCAGTTATCATTACACTCATATGGGAAAGGTATGAATCCATGTCTTCTCTCCTTAGCTATGGGTTAAATAGTAGAAAAAAACTGGGCTCTTCAGCCTTGGTTGCCAAAACCCTGAATTCAAAAAAAGGCCCTGTGAAGCACATACTGTGCAACTAATGAAAGGATGGTGGAGTTAATGATGATTCTATGATGTTACAGAATGTGGAAACTGGCCCAGGCTAGTCAGCAATTGGTCAGGGGCATAATAGTCTGACAGTGATGGATTGTCTTTGTCTTGGTTTTGGATCTTCTTCTAGTTGTCATGTCTCTTTAGATCCAGATTTTCCCGTCCTTTGTCACTCTTAATAAATTTTGTCTTTTTGCTATCTCTCCTAAAACTTGTTCCATCATCCTTTTACTTAAGCTTACTTGGTAGGTTATGCTTTTTTCTCCTCTATCCTGCTTGCCTTCAGTCTACCCTGTGAGTATTAAATTTTCCAAGCCTTCTTTCCTCATTATGTACCCTAGAAATTTCAGCTGTCACTTCTTGATGTTAATTATAAATGTCCTTTTTGTTTCTATTTTCTCTGAAACTTCCTTGTTGTTCCCATATTCATTCCATACTATTCTCAGTATCCTACTGTAGAAACAACTTTCTGTTGATTCAAGTATCTTCCTCATTCATGATATTGTCCGGCATTCACTGCCATATAGGAGTTATGATGTTACGCATTAGTTCAGTACTCTCTGTCTTGTTTCTGTGTCAAGTCATAAGAGGGCTTCAAGAATTTTGAAGCTTCAATATGCTACATCCAAATTAATGCGTCATGTGGTTATGCGTTTGCCTGAAGTTCTCCCTCCTGTTATCACCTAGAATTGATGCTACCATAAGAAAAAGAAACTTTCATTGATATAATTTATGAAGTGAAGGGTTGAAGCCAGTGATCACACAGTACACAGCAAAGATCCCAATTGCAGTCTAATAGGTTTTCATTTGTTTTTAGTCTATAAATGAAGTTGTGTGATTGATTTTCTGTTGTTATTAAAAACCTCACAATGACTTTTTATTAAATTTTTTGAAAGCATGAAGTATTTCACTATTTACATTATTCGGACTATTGTCCTCATCTTTGTTGCCATATTTATTACAACGTTTCAGCCGTTGTACGCTCCGGTCTTCAGGTGGTTGGAATGTCGAACTGAACCCTTTATTTCGCTCACTGGGGTAGACTGTACTAGTTCCACGTGCCATGTCTAATGGATGTCAGTTATCTCCTGTTAATTCCCCCTCTCCAAGTTCCCCACCGCCCTAACCAGGTATTGAACTCACACTCTTTGGATCCTGTCACTGGATCTAACTAACACCTTTATCTTTGAGGACATCTGTGTATGAATTTCTGGGTATTATAAACCTAATGTCTTCAGCAACCATTTTTTTACCAGTGCTCATATTGCAATTTTTGCTAGAGCTCATATTGCAATTTTTGTTGTTATTATCGCTTTTCTCTGGCACTCCTTATTACTGGTTCCCATATTGTATTCATTTCTATGCTTGGCTGGCTCAGGAGATTTTTGTGGCGACAAAGATGAGGACAATAGTCCGAATAATGTAAATAGTGTACATAATACTTCATCTCAGAAATATAGACAGATACTGAAGTATTTCGATTTGAAAATTTTTTTTACAATAATGTTCACCCTATACAAGGCCCAAGAGCCACTCGAGGTAGAGGGTTGCTGAAAGAAACGACAGCCTACTGCAGGGAAAATCTTCTGCCTAGTCAGTCATGAATTGAATTAGACATGATCTCCCAAGCGGGTATCATGTATGGCACTTGATTCACTTTATCTTTTCTCCTCCCAGCTATGAGTTCAATAGACTGGGTTCTATAGCCTTGGCTGGCAACCAGTCTACTGCAGAAAGAAATGGCGACCTACTGCGGGGTAAATCTTCTGCCTCGTCAGTCATGGATCAAAAGAGATATGATTGCCCAAGCATATATCATGTATAGTATTTAACAAACTGATGCTTATGGATAGAAACATTTCATATCTGTAATTCTTCTTCTTTTATGTGTTGCGTCTCTTCAGGATGTAAGCGATCATGTCCCTCCACATCTTCCTGTCCATTGTAACTCTTAATAAGTTTTGTCTTTTTGTTATTTTTTCCCAAACCCTGCTATACCTTTGATCCACTCAAGCCCATCAAGTATGTTATGTGCTGCTTTCCTCTGTCCCTCAGACTCTCCTGTGAGTATCAAATTATGTCCCCCAGAAATTTCAACTACCTCTTCTTGACATTAGGTATAAGTTTTCCTCTTTGTTTCCATTTTCTCCAAAATCTTGTTGTTTGCATGTTCATCCCAGGGTATCCAAAGCATTTTTCTGTAGAAGCACATTTGTGTTGCTTCAAGTCTCTTCATCTTTGAGGAGATTGTCCAGCATTCGCAGCCATACAGGAGGGATGATATCACGTAACAGTTCAGTACTCTTTTCTTTGTTTCTAATAAAGTTTTTCTCTCTTAATACCTTCCAAAAGCTAAGCAGAGTATCTTTGGCTATCTCAATGCCTCTTCCGATTTCAGTGTCACATTTTTTGTCCTCTGTTAGAATACTTCCTAGATATTTAAATTTTTGTGCTTGATTTTGGTATCTTTGAATTCATCATGAAGTAAGCCTTGTTCTTGCTTGGATCTGTGACAACTTCTGTTTGGATTTTCAGAGTCAGATCCCCCTTTATCTAGCTATTGCTGCCATTCTCTGCTTCTTCTCTGTGCCATGGGTGATCATGGTTCTCCACAACTTCCTGTTCTTTGCAGCCCTTAATAAAATTTGCCTTTTTGCTATATTATCTAATCCCTGTTCTACCAACCATTTACACAAGATTGTTAGGTTATACGCAGCTTTCCTATCGCCTGCTTGCGTTCAGTGTTCTGTGAGTGTCAAATTTTCCAAACCCTCTTTCCTCATTATGTGTCTTATAAATTTCAGCTGTCTCTTTCTGAAACTACATCTAAGTGTCTTTTTTGTTTCCATTTTCTCTAAAACTTCCTTGTTGCTCACATGTTCAATCCATGGTATTCTCAGCATCCTTCTGAAGAATGATGTTTGTGTTGCCACAAGTCTCTTATCCATCTGTTGGGTGACTGCTAGGGAATACCAGGTGCTGTAAACTTGGATGTGATGGTGGTGTAATGGATAATGGCTCAGAATTGTTAATCAGAGTGCTGAGTTCCAATTCCAGTTGGGTTCATTATATTCACTTATGTGCAAATACCCTTGTGAAAGGTATGAATTCACCTATTCTCTCCCCTTCTCCCAACTATGGGTTTATTACTAAGGCTTGTATCAGTAAATCATTATTATCTAAAAAAAAACAAAAAAACTAAACAAGTTCATTTGGTAGGTTATATGATACTTTTCTCCCACCCTCTTGCTTTCAATATGTTCTATTTCCTTGTTTATGGCATTTATCAAATCTGTAATTAAGTCTTCCTAAAATAATCTTTGATGTAGAATATAGGATATAAGACAGGATAGAATATATAAGATTGAATATAGGATATAAGATTGAATATAGGATATAAGATTGAATATAGGATACT